ACACACATGAGGAAAATACTGGTCAATAACTGATCATCATCATTAACTACAAACTGTCTAGTCTAGAGTATGAGAACAAGAGTACAACTCCAGAATATAATAACACAAATCTATCATTTATTATTCATTCATTTATTCATTTTCTTGTCGGCTTAGTCCCTTTATTGTGGGGTCGCCACAGCAGAATGAACCACCAACTTATCCAGCAAGTTTTTACACAGCGGATGCCCTTCCAGCCGCAACCCATCTCTGGGAAACATCCACACACACATTCACACACACATACAGACAATTTAGCCTACCCAATTCACCTGTACCGCATGTGTTTGGCCTGTGGGGGAAACCGGAGCACCCGGAGGAAACCCACACGAACACAGGGAGAACATGCAAACTCCACACAAAAACACCTACTGAGCCGAGGCTCGAACCAGCGATCTTCTTGCCGTGAGGCGACAGCACTACCTACTGCGCCACTGCTTCAACTATAATTTATTACAGATAATCGGAAACTGGTGTCCTTTATTATTTACATTTATGACTATACTCTCAGATGATCTTATTATCAACAATATACTATTACTACAGTACTTACACTTAACTTTTCAGACAATCTGTCATTCAACTTCAGTAATTACACTGCTAAACATGCGACTTTTCATCTTGTTCCTAGACTAAATATCTAAACACTCCTAAATCAAGAAGCATTTTCTAGACAAGAAAGTCATATAGTCTTGTTTTCAGAAATAATGAGTCAAATTAAACAGAGTTTTCTTAAAAAAAGCAAAATAGTCAGCCAATGGGGGAAGAAAATGAATGTATTTTTCCTTTTGACATAAGATGATTTAAGTACACCTATGTGCAGATTATTTAGGTTGTTTTAATGAAATACTCGCATCATTTTAAATATTTCTGAAAACAAGACTATATTTTTCAGCATTTTATATAGAAAATGCTGCTTGATTTAATAATAATAATATAATAATAATAATAATAATAATAATGGATATTTGGACTAGAAACAAGACAAAAACTCATTTATTGCAGTGTACATTAGATTTTTTCTGCTAAACTACATGCTTTTCTCGAGATTCATGTTTGTGTTCTGGTCTTTCTTTAATGCTAACAGATTCTAGATTCATCAGAAGTGTTTTATACGAACACAAACACACCATGATGTGAGCTTTCACACACATGTGCTCAATCAGGTCCCGTAAGCGAGTCTGTTTGGGAGAGTAAAGCCTGTAAATGGATGATCCCATCAGCTGCTCATCCGCTCACGTTCTGTCGCTCTCTATTTCTCTCCTCGCTTAATCTGCACTTTAAGTCAATCAAGTTGAGCTTTATTGTCATTCTGCTACGCGTGTGGACATACAGAGCAACCAAATGTCGTGTCTCGCAGGACCAGGGAGCTACAGAAATAACATCGATATTGAACACATCACCTGAAAACATGTTTCTAAAGCTGCTGTTGACTTGAAATGTTCACCATACTGCAAAAAACTCAAGACAACCCTCTAACTTAGATGTTCCTTTAGTCCACATATCTAAAAATTAATAAATCTAGACGCATTTTATAGACAAGCAAACATATTTTAGAAATAATGAGTCAAAATGAAGTGAAGTTTTCCTTAAAACAAGCAAAATTATCTGCCAATAGGGCAAAAAATAATAACATTTCAAAACTATTTTAAACACATGGTATTCATATTTATAATATTATAATAATATTTACTTATTGGGAGATTATCTTGCTTATTTTAATGAAAAACTCACAAAATTTTGACTCAGTATTTCTGAAAACAACACTATATATTTGGCTTGTCAGAATTATTCAACCCGGGCTCATTGTGGAAACGTAGCCCCGCGGACGTTTCTGTGGACCGCGAGATACGTCCCGGGAGGTACGTATTCGAGTGTTTTTTGTTTTCGCGGATCCGCGAGAGGCCGCTGTGCGCGTTTTTTCGCGTCTCGGGTGCCTCTCGGGAACGCACGCCGTTCGCACCCGTGCCGTTCTCGCGCGAAAAGCCGCCGGATCGGCCGACTCGGCCGCCCTCCTCTTCCTCCTCCTCCTCCTCCTCCTTCCCTAAACCCTAGCGACGGTTCGCAAAAGCCGTCCAGAAAAACAAACAAACAAAAAAAGCAAAAGCCCTCATCTTCGATTTCGACCACATTTTCGGATCCCGCCGCGTTCTCGCCCTTATTTTTTCGGATTCCATTTTTCATCTTACGTGATTTCTGGAATCGCTGTTCCCCAGACTCGATCCCGGTCGTCATCCCCGCGGCCGGCTCCTCCTCCTCCAGGGCTTCCGCTCCGCCGACGCAACGCTGTGAGCTAAGCGGACAAACTGGTGGCATCGGGAAAGCCCTCCACTCGGAGGCGAGCCACACCGCCCCACAGCGTTCGCTCGGAAAAAACTAAACGCGTCTGTACGTACCTCTGGCCACGTAAATCACGGCCTCCAGAAACGTCCACGGGGCTACGTTTCCAGAATGAGCTTGGGTTGAAATTATTAGATATTTGGACTAGAAACAAGATTAAAACGCACTAAGAAATGCAATGTTTTGGCAGCGTTTTTATTTAAGTATTATGCAAAAGAGATATTTCATGGTGAAAATAGCTAGTAGGGCAAAAAGTAAAGTTTTCCCTGTTGTTCTTGTAAGATATGGTGGTGCATATGGAGAGTGTTTCTACAGGTGTTTGTCCAGCACACTCAGAAACACACTTGCTTTGCTTCATCATACAGCAGATTTCATGCTAAAGCTGTATGTGCTGGCTTCTCTCACCTCTCCAGCGTTTTTGTCGGGTTTGTCTCTGCTGTCCGTGTGGATTTTCCTGAGCAGCTGTTTAATGCGTTTGTCGTAGAACTGATATCGGCGGCTGCTGTTCTCGTTCAGCTTCCTCACCTGACTCAGCAGGAAATTAGGAACCTACAGAATAATCAAGTGGAGTGTATTTGTACAGGGCTTTTCACAGTGATAGTCATTCAAAAGCAGCTTTACTAAAGGTGCATGTTATTATTGTTAAAAGAAGAGAGTTCAAACAACATGAACGAAGATTGACAAATGAACAAATAAGAGGACTGATAGCCCCGCCCCAATGTATTGATAGCTCTACCCTAAATGACTGACAGCCCCGCCCTAAATGACTGATAGTCTCACCTTGAAGGATTGATAGCACCGCCCTAAATGACCTAGCACCGCCCAAAATGACCAATAGCCCCACCCTAAATGACCGATAGTCCCACCCTAAATGACTGATAGACTTGCCCTAACTGACGGATAGCCCCACCCTAAATCACTTATAGCCCTGCCCTAAATGACTGATAGTCCACCCTTAAGAATTAATAGCCCTGCACTAAATAGCCCCACCCTAAATCACTTATAGCCCCGCCCTGAATTACTAACAGCCCCACCCTAAATGACCGATAGCCCCGCCCTAAATGCCTGATAGTCCTACCCTTAAAGATTGATAGCACCGCCCTAAATGACTAATAACCCCACCCTAAATGACTGATAGCCCCACTGATAGTTCTGCCCTATATGACTGATAGCCCCGCCCTAAATGACTGACAGCCCCGCCCTAAATGACTGGTAACCCCACTGATAGTCTGCCCTAAATGACTGATAGCCCCACCCTAAATGACTTATAGCCCCGCCCTAAATGACTGATAATCCTGCCGTAAATGACTGATAGCCCCACCCTAAAGGATTGATAGCCCTGCCCTAAATGACTGATAGTCTCACCTTGAAGGATTGATTGATAGCCCCGCCCTAAATGACTGATAGCCCCACCCTAAATGACTGATATCTCCGCCCTAAATGACTGATAGCCCCGCCCTAAATGACTGAAAGCCCCGCTCTAAATGACTGATATCTCCACCCTAATGGACTATAGCCCCGCCCTAAATGACTCAAAGCTCCACCCTATTGTTTGCTTGTCTAGAAC